TTGACCGTTTGCTCTATATCCATCTTGCTGAAATAAACAGCAGAAAGATAAGGAAACCTGGTGTGAAGACCTGTTTATGCATATGATGAATGATATGTTATTCATGTAATACATTCAAGGATTCAGAAATTCAAATTTGTTGCAAACAAAAAGAACACACGTCATATTAATAAGAAGAAATTTGTTAGTACATAAAAGCCCTATGGGAAAAATATTACAAAGCCTCTTAATGTAAAAAGACGTTGCGCATCCTTTTTGGCGCGATGTAAGTGTTAAGAGTTTCCTCTTCGCGAAGTCGGCGGGTAAGTTCCAAAACCTTCTTCTCACTAGCATAGAAGCTGGCTTCAAAAGTGTTCCGCTCTTCCTTGAGTTGTATCCAACTCTTTTGCAAATCTTCCAATGATGTTGGCATGTCTGGATGTAGGAGGGTGTATGGAACCTCTCCTTCCATAACAGGCTCTTTGATCACAGGGAGAATGTGAGGGTAAGGCATCATAAGATTCTGGGCGCGGGTTCATACCCACTTGAGATAAGGCTCAAGGGGGATGGAATTCTTGTGCCCCAGTGTCTTACTATCCACTTTGTTGGGCATCCTCCAAGCTCGGATAAACCTTTGTCGAAGTCCTTGAGCGTCATTGTCGAAGTCAAAAACCAGGTCAGGAATCAACATATCATGAGGGCCATCCCCTCGGGCATACCCAAATTGCCTCAAATCTAAACAGGGGTTGTAGGTAATGCCTCCCCTAATGCCAAGTAGTGGGACATTAGGTAATTCTCTGCAACGATCAATGATGATGACATTTTCTCTGGACCGAGAACACCAATGAACATCAGAATGTGTGGGGGTCATCAACCGTTGTGACCACCTTAAACCCTGCTCATTCTTCAAAACTGATTGGGGAAGGTGATAAATAAACCACCTTGCTAGAAGAGGAGTACAACACATGAGAACACCTCTTTTCTTCATTGTTCGTGTGTGAAATGAGTGTAGGATGTCCCCAAGAAATGTAGGCACAGGATTCCGAGATATGAAAATCTTGACAGCATTCACATCTATAAGCTGATCAGGGTTTGGGAACAAGACCAACCCATAGATGAGGAGTGCTATAATCTCTTCAAAAGCTTGCAGATCTAGAGAATTCCAGCAGTCTTGTGCCTTCTCAAACAGAAACTTTGCTAAGAAACCCTTGACACCACTTCTGGTTTCCCAATGACCTTTGATATCAGATGGTTGCAAGTGTAAGGCTTGAGCAACATCTTCAGGCTTTGGTTCTCTTTTCGTACCTTTGTAGGGTAGTTGATGAAGAATAGGAATCCTCAGGAGTTGAGAAAATTCCTCGAAAGTAGGTACTAGTTTGTAATCAGGGAATGTGAAACAGTGGTGTAGGGGGTCAAAGAACTGGAAGAGAACTTTCACCATGTTTTCTTCAATGTTGGAGTTGACCAAGTTGAGGAGTCTACCATGTCTTTCATTGAAGAGAGAATTCTCTGGAATCTTGGAAGTAAGCTCCTTGAGTTGAGGAGGGATCCTTACAAGGTTGACTTGAATTGTTTTCCTGCGAAGAGATTCCATTACCTATAAATCAAGAACAAAGATGAAGATCCAAACCCTTGAAATGGTTAGTGGATGCATATGATGCTTTATGATGTTCATGATGTATGCACAAGTAAATGTACAAGCAAGTCACAAAGTTCTTAGTTTCAGGCTTGCATGGGGTTTCATAGTTAAGTACCCTCTTGAAGTTAATTGGCTCAACTTGTCCTAATAACCGGGTTCTAAGGAGCTCAATATCACTGGATTATTTTCTGTGTTCATTGTTTCAGTTTAGCCACTTAACTGGCGACCGAAATATTCCAAGAAAACAACCCTCAATGAGTGTAGTATCGAGTATCTACCAACTTCGGACTGCACCAAAGTCGGTCACCTCACTACCCCTAATAAGGCCAAGATGGTCAAGTAAAGGTTCTAAGAGTTCATTAGTGCTTCATGACATCACTCAGCGGCCCCGTATTCTCTTTGATTGACTCAAAGGCTACCGATACCCACAAATATGTTGCACTAATATAGCTATTGCTTCAACCATGTCGTTATACCCCGCACAATTTCCACAACATATTGCTATTTACCTATGAATGTTTCCCAAAAATACGGGTGGAGGATTCAAACCCAAACAAGAGGACCAAATGTAAAGCAATCAAACCCAAACAAGAGGACCAAATACGGGAGAACTGACTTGAGGTTTCGCGTTTGTGTTTGCAAATGTTTCGGTTTAGCAAGAGTCGCCGCTGACTTTTTATTTTATCCTAAGGAAAGGTCAAAAAGCACATGAAAGATCTTTGAGATATTTTCTTGGGTTCGGGGAGTAGATTATGAAAAGGGAAGGTGCAAGCACCCTTTTCATCCATGGGCTCTTAGTTACTTGTTTAGATCACTTGCTTTTGCTTTTCAATTGTTTGAAATGGTGCTTTGTGTGTGGTTTTGAAAGATGTTTTGAAAAGAGGCCATCGTTGTGGCAACCTTTGTAATGATTATTGTTTGAATGTATAAAAATATGTATTGTCTTTTGAAAAGATTTCAATGTTTGAAAGTTTGATTTGGGAAATATTTTGAAATTGTGTTGTGAGGTGTGTGTGAAAATAGCAAGGATGTTTTGCAAGTTTTTTGATCAAGTAACTAAGAGTTGTCTACCCTATTTTACTCAAAGGTCTTTCCTATATGTTTTTAACCCTTTTGATAGTGTTGTTTTACCATTGCATTTGGTAAACAACCTTGTATTAGGATGTTAAACGGGACAGGCATGGGTCATCGTATAGACCATGATAGCAATAACGCCAAGTATCTTTAGCAATTTTTTAAGGGACTTTATCATTTTGTTTAGGCAACCAAAATAGCGTCATCGAGGGACTATGATCTTTTGTTTTGTTTTTGTTTTGCCAAAGTACCCAACATGCATAACATGGCCCATTTTTAAGGCACCAAGTGGATGTAACCCTAGGGGTGCAAGTGCATTGTGTATTGATTTTCATGCATTTTTGTCTTTGTATTAGGTCAAGCTACTTGTTAATTTTGGATTTTTGCATACAAACCCTAATCTCTAATCATGGCATAATTGAAAGCGTAAATGTGTAAAATAAATCTACCACTATTACAACATGATTATGGGGAGGGGGTACAATTTTGAATGGGGATTATTTGACAAGAAAATCAAAAACCTAAATTTACTATTACATCCAAATTGAATCAAATGGCATAGATAACAAATGAATAATATTTAAATAAATAAATTAAACAAATATACAAAATAATATGAATATGCAAAAAAAACTTTTGTTTATTTTTATGTATGTAAAAATATTTAATGTAAAAAGAAAGGAATAATAAAAAAGGATTATTATTATATTATTAAGGGTAAACACTAATTTTCTTTTAAGAATACAAATATATTAAATATACTATTTATATACAAGAAAATAAAATAGTGTATATACAAAAATAAAATATATTTAGAAAAAGTATTATTTAAGTATAAATAATAATAAAAATAAAAGTATAATATTTGTATATATTTTATTTTATTTTTATTACATAATTAATATAAAAATTATGTAATATCCCCCAACTTCTTAGGTTTGAGCTGCCGTATATCCCCCAACTTCTGTTGGTTCTTCAAACCCTTCATGGGTCACATCCCATGCGTCTAGAGATTCAAGAAGAGCTTTCATTTGGATACTCCAGTTTTCATAATTTGACTTCGTTAGGCGTGGCAACGACATTTGATTCATCATGTTTGCCATGAGCTCTGATGCCAAATTGTTATAAATAATCAGACTTGGTTATGTAATTACTTTTCTAAAAGGAGACAAACCTTTTTGTATTGCTCTTATTGAATAAAATACCCTCTTGGTCCTTATATAGACCTAATGACTTTTACAATTCTAAAAAAGATAACTGCTACTAATAAAACTATCATAACTTACAAACTTTTGTCCTTTCAAATTACATTGTCTCTTAATCTTCCTACTACCATATTTAATATGAAACTTATTACTAATGACATTTAAAGTTTACTCAACAATTTCCTGTAAAACTCTTTTTCATGTTGCATAGCATATTTTAATTGTACCATATGATCGTCGAATCTTTTTGCAGTACAATAATAGATACATCAATTATTTACAATAATCAACTTTTGTCCCCTTTCGTCACTTTCAAGCTACAGTGATTGGATGTGAGTAAAGATTTCAATTATATTTGTATTTATGTCCATACAAATATCCAAATCTTATCTACAATAACACACAAGATATCTCATCTACTGCACTTTATTTGCATCACCTTTTACATAATACTATCTTTTACAAATTCACAAGTGACAAAAGCAAAATGCACTTTTCACTACTAATCTATTAATACATCGAGACACACACACACACATATATATATAATAGTCTTTTCATGTTGCATAGTAGATTATTATTGTACCATGTGATTGTCAAATGTTTTGCAGTACAATAATAACTACTTACATTTTTAACAAAAATCCTCTTTTGTCCATACGAGCACAATCGTTCTTGGTTGTACAAATCACTTCCATTAGAATCAATAATTATCGATCATATTTAACGCATGAATATTATTGATAAAATATAATGCAAGAATAAATAACCATTCAAACATATTAAACAACACAAATTTACACAACAATTACTTTATATTATGAAACAACATATACATATTACATGCAACACCATAAACTGGTGTTGATACTAATGCATAATCAAATTAAACATCCATTCATAACTGAGTTTTTAAACACTTCCACTACTACTTAAATAAAAGTTGTTCAAACTACATAAAAAAAACATCATTATAAATATTGATTAAATCTGACTTAAAAAGCTTAGAACTGGACCAACAATATTAACCACATCACATCACATCAACTCGTTCCAAATCATACATATATCCCAACCAAAAGATCTGACTTTCATGCACTTCCTCAACCAACATATGACCGATTCAGCACACATACTAAGAGTCTCGTGGCCGGAGGATAGCGGAGGTAAAATGACAGTACAACACCTCTCTTTAACCTTCTTTGTCTGGAAAAGTCATACCAACAATTAGCAAGAAACTTCCCCTTTATATCCTTCCTTTGTTTTAGCTCGCACTGGTATGATACTCCAGTGTCAGTATCAAGTAGCTCCATCGAGCTTTGAGGCATGGCCAAACACATCCTGATCATATTGTTGGGAATTCGCTGCGCAAGACAACCATTTTATCATATACTGACACATGCTACAAACTAATAATGGTCATTGTTATTCTATACTATACAACTTACCAACATATTTTTTTGGATCACTTTTCCGGATGTTACTTTCTTCGTCCAAGTGCACTCTTCAGACTCAAAATATAAAGCATCGTCACAAAGATCATTACCTGAAATACCATATGTATTACTTCATCCATAACACACATAACAAGTTAAACTTTAGCTAACAGGTATGCATGACATAAATCTATGTCTTTACATCAACTTAAAAACTATATGAAAACAAACATCCGTTTTAGGTTACTTGTGATCTTTGTGGAGATATTATATCATAACAATAATTGTTTTAGCTTCCGGATCAGTCACTTTAACTTTCCCTTTACCAAGATTAAGAGATTCAAAGCATCCCTATTTCTTCTACTGCTTCTTGAACTCTCTGGTCTCCTCATACTCAAGATAATCAAATTCCATCATTAATCGTCTCCACACTTTGTCTTTGATGATGTCAAAAGTTGATCTGCAAAAATCAAACAACAGTCAAAACCATTGGTAAATCAACATGCAAAACTGATAAAACATTATGATGGCTTATTCTTTTGAACGAAGCAACTCCCAAAACAGTTGTTCATGTAAAACTATGAAGCAACATGTGAAATGCGATGCAAAACAACAAACCAAACAATTGTAATGCAAGTCGGCTCAACCTCCCAAGTGATACACTGAGCTTTTCGGTACTCATGTTTTGGGAAGACGAAGGTTTTGGTAGATTGTAGTTGTTAATTAAATACAAGAAATATTGAAATGTATAAAGTGTAAAGTTTGTTTATTTTTCTAATATATAGTATGACATGATATGGGTCTGTTGACAATACTTTTATTTTATTTTTAATTTTATACGTTTATTAAATGAAATAATTAACTTTTGGAACGTCAATAGTCAGCCTTGATTATATAAAGTAACCATTTAAATTATTTTATTTATCCTTTATTTTGGATTTCCACTATAATTATTTCCTTAAGTAATCTTTAATAAAAACTCTTTTTATCTTCTTCGTATAATTAAACTTTTTTCGTAATTTATTTTCAATATTATTTTTTTGTAATTTGTTTTAACATATTTTTGTCACCAATATAATTTATATAACGTAATTTTTATTATTATTTTATTTAATTTTTAATGTTTAAAACAATGTTTTATACAATGCTTTTATCATTTTAAAACTCATTGCTATTGGGCCCGGTCCTTTCTTCGTTTCCTATAAAGGCCCACTATTTGTTCAATACATTCCAATTTATCTTTCTACTTACACACACATTTGGTATAATTTTTATAACTATTGGTTTATATAAAAATATAATACTTATTTTTTAATTACTATTATTGGTGGCTGCAAAATAATAATTTTTATTAAAATAACATTAACCTATTTTCAACTCATTTAATATTGAGATATATTAGAGAATTTTAGTTTATTTTGTAATGGTAAATTTATGTTTAATAATATTATATATTATATTTTATAATTATTTTGTATAACTAATAGCAGATCTTATTAGTTATATAGTTGGTTATATTATGAACATGAACAAAGTTATAGTATGTTTTTGGTTTTGTAACTGCAGACCAATTGTACTTGGATAGCAAATTAGGGTATTTGAATCCACTAATAAATTATTTTGATATTTATCTAATGCATGTTTTTCATTCATGTAATTGCTTATGCAGTATGTGATAGATCAATGAAATTCATATTGAGACATTTGACAATGATAATATATTCTATTTTCATAACATTGAAAAGAAGAATCCAATCTGACTTCCAATGATATTATATTTTGAGAATCTGAAACCCTAATTAATTTATTTTTGCTGTCAATATTTCCGTAGTTAAATTATATTTCTTGTTGCCATATACTCATTTTATTTACTGCATCGATAATTAAATTTAAGGAAGTGTTGGACTAAAAATAGAACTTTTTAGTAGACTAAATATACGCTTTTTATAATGTAATATGTCTTATATTAGATTTAAAAGCATTTTGACTTAAAATAAAAGAGTAATCAATGGTGTGTAAAGAAAAACATTTGATATTTAGGAATAATTTCAAAAAAAAAATTTGGTTAAGTTTGTCATTATAAATTGCAATATAAATGATGCAAGTTCAACATGTTTTCCTTTGGCAATGATACCACTGAATCTGTATAATGTTCATAGGTGAGATACTCAACTTTGCATACTTTTTGTGTAGATATTTCAAAAAAAAAAAAAGCAAAAGTGATGTTCACATCATGTATAATTTTAGTCTAATAAAAGAACCATCATAATTGTATGTCAAGCATAACAACTGCCAAACCATAAAAAAACAAATCCACCATGTTCAGAACTAATACATATATTATACCCCACAACTATTTCTAAAATATATCAACCCTCCTCAGTGTTGCATACAAGTACGGGAAAAATAATCCCTTTTTTAAAATCAATACATCTCCTGTTGGAAATCCACCAATACTCTATGATGAATTTCGACCACCACTGATGATTAGTTATGAAACAAACTAAGAAAAGACAATAGAATTATTTCTGCAGAGTTTCTCTCTGCCCACAAACTGTGGAAACTTTTATTAATTCACTTTGCAACTGCAAAATACTGTGAATGACTTCAATGACTTGAATACACAATAAGGGTTACTCCCTCTTATTTATAGATTTAGGTTAGCTTGCTCCCTAAGCTAAACCCAAGCCCAAAATATCTCTTTACTAAATCAAATCTAATCTAGATTTAAATTCAAATCTATTTAAATCTAAACAAATCAAATCTTCTTTTGACACCTATGAATTACAATTTAACACACCACCTAATTCATTGTGTCTAAACTGTCTATGTTCATCATGGCCCTTAGTTTTCTGAATACTTCGACCTGCACTCCCTTCGTCATGATGTCTGCAATCTGATTCTCAGTTCTGCAGTGTTCCAAATTCATCTTCCCATCTGCTACCTGCTCTCGAAGATAATGGAACCTCATTTCGATGTGCTTACTTCGACCATGTGCTATTGGGTTCTTCGCCAGATTGATAGCTGACATGCTGTCTATCTTCATGGTAATTGCTCCATGATTTTTCCCTGTTATCTCTTCGACCAAGTTCACCATCCAGGTTGCTTGACATGCACAAAGAGAAGCAGCTATGTATTCTGCTTCGCATGATGATAATGCTACTACTGGTTCTTTTCTCGAACTCCAAGCAATTGTTGCACCACCTAGCATAAATACATATCCTGCTGTTGACTTTCGATCTTCAGCATCACTACACCAACTCGAATCAGTGTATCCCACTAACTTGCATTCTTTTCCTTTATCAACTGCAGGAAACAAAATGCCATAATCGAAAGTTCCTTTGAGATACCTTAGTATCCTCTTCACAGCTGCTAGATGTGATACCTTTGGCTTCTTCATGAATCTACTTACCATACCTACACTGTATGCTAAGTCAGGCCTTGTATGACAAAGGTATCTCAATGATCCAATAAGTCTTCTGTATTGAGTTGGATCAACATCATCTTCATCTGCATCTTTCGACAGTTGCAGTCTTGGTTCTGCAGGTGTCGAAGTTGCATTGCATACTTCCATCTCAAACCTCTTGAGAATTTCTCCTGCATATCTTCTTTGATGCATCATCAAACCTCTACTGCTCTTGTAGAATTCGATACCAAGGAAATATGAAATCTCACCCAAATCAGACATTTCGAATTCCTTGCTAAGGTCAACTTTGAAGTCTTCGATCTCACTCTTGCAGCTACCTGTTATCAACAAATCATCTACATAGAGACATAGTATAAGCAATTTACTCTTGCTTCTTCTTACATATACTCCATGTTCAGTTATGCACTTCACAAATTCCTTCTCCCTTAGAAAACTATCAATTTTCTTATTCCAAGCCCTTGGAGCTTGTTTCAAACCATACAGGGCTTTATGTAGCCTGTACACCTTTCTTTCTTCGTCATGTTTCACAAACCCAACTGGTTGTTTAACATAGACTTCTTCATTTAAGGGTCCATTTAGGAATGCACACTTCACGTCCATCTGACATATGTGCCAACTGTTGATTTCTGCTAGACCAACAACCAGCCTGATTGTTTCGATCCTAGCAAAAGGTGCAAAAACTTCGTCGAAATCTATTCCTTCTTTCTGTAGAAATCCTTTCGCCACAAGTCTTGCTTTGTGTCGAGTTACTTCACCTTTCGAATTCGTCTTCACTTTGTATACCCACTTGACATCAATTGCCTTCTTGCCTTGAGGCAATTCGACAAGTGACCAAGTGTTGTTGTCTTCGATAGACTTTACTTCTTCGTTCATTGCTTTCACCCACTTCGAATCCTTTAATGCTTCAGCTGCATTAACAGGTTCGACATCTGCATAGAAAGCATAATGTACCAGCTCACCTTCATCATCTATCACATCATCTGATGTGATCACACAATCTTGCAATCTTGCAGGCATGCGTCTTGTTCTTTGAGGTCTGCTTGTACTGGGTATATCTGCTGGCTCCTCTTGTCGAACTTCTCTTTCGACTTGAGTTTCTGGCTCTTCGAATATGATTCCTACTGAATCTTTCTTGGCATTTGCAGTCCAATCCCATTCTTTGAACTCATCTATGATCACGTCCCTGCTGATCACAATCTTCTTGTTCTCTGGATCGAACAACTTGTAGCCTCCTGTCGAATGATATCCAACTAGGATCATTTGACTTGACTTGTCATCAAGTTTCTTTCTCAACTGATCTGGCACATGTCTATGTGCAATAGATCCAAATACTTTCAGATGACTTAAGTTAGGCTTCACACCAGACCAACATTCTTCTGGAGTAATTCCTTCTAGCTTTTTTGTAGGACTTCTGTTCAAAATGTATGTTGCAGTCGAAACAGCTTCACCCCAGAACTCTTTGGGTAAATTCTTGCCTTTCAACATACTTCTCACCATGTTCATGATGGTTCGATTTTTCCTTTCTGCAATTCCATTTTGCTGTGGAGTATAGGGTGGCACCACCTCATGCACAATCCCTTCTTTTTCACATAATCTGTCGAAGTATTTCGACACATATTCTCCTCCACCATCAGTTCTCAAAACTTTGAGCTTTCGACCACTTTGTCTTTCGACCATGGACTTGAACTTGGTGAATACTTCGAACACTTCACTTTTCTGCTTGATCAGGTAAGTCCATAGCTTTCGACTGAAATCATCTATGAATGTAACAAAGTATTTGTTACCTCCCATCGAATCCACTTGGATTGGTCCACATACATCAGAGTATATGACTTCGAGACTAGCCTTCGCTCTGCTTCCTGCATCCTTGCTGAAGCTGTTCTTGTGTTGCTTCGCTTGCACACATTCTTCACATACTTCGTTTGGAATGTCAATTTCAGGCAATCCTGAAACCATATTTCTTCTCTTCAAATCTCTGATGTCTCTGAAGTTGAGATGACCAAGTCTATAATGCCATATCCATTCATCTCTGCTAGCTGCAGTCGAAAGGCACTTGTGCTCCATCACATTTAGTTCAATCTTGAAGGTTCGATTCTGAGACATAGGAGCCTTCAAGATTAATCTCCCATTTGCATCAACGACTCTCATCAACTTATCTTCGATTGACACTTTATAATTCTTTTCGACCAACTGCCCTATACTGAGCAAATTGCTCTTCATGCCTGGTATGTACAATACATTCGAAATTACTGACT